TCGATGAAGGGTTGTTAAGGGCGCAACCCTCGATAACCTTGTCGTTGACTTCTTCAAGTACCCAAATAGAGCAACAGAGCAGACGTAAGCATCAAAAAATATTAGCAGTGAAGGCATTTTCGTGTCCATACCTCACAACCCCTCCATCATTCTTCTAGTCAGTCGTTTATCTCTTCCTTTACATCGTCCTCGTCCTTCAGACTTGGCTTTCCTTGGACAAGCTCAGTCTGGCTTCTGATACTTCACCCCTCACCTTCCTACTGTTGAGGATACCATAAGGGACCTTCCCTACATGATCGGAAAGGGAGAATCCGACCCAAAGAACTCTAAACTGCTTCTACCCTTCTACCGCTGTCTTGCGAGTGATGCCAACCTGAGCCTGCTTCCGCGGCACCTTGCTTATTTCTCTGTCCTTGGGAGTACTCGGATCTGACTTGGCATCTAAGGACATGCATAGCAACAACAATACTTGTTTCTGTTCTTTTCAAATAACGGATCAGAAAAGTTCATCCGCATAGCAGACCTAAACTCTCAGATTTGAGATTTGAAATTTGATAGGAGTTTCTTTTATGCTCCGATGAGCAAGATTGCCACCCTATGCGCTCACAATCGAGGGCCAAATTGGTCAGCAGTCTGTTATCTGCTGAGTATATTGCTTGGATCTGGGTCTCTTCTCTCGCAATTTGACTGACTGGCGTGGAGTCATGAACGTTCCAAGTACCTTTACAGGTGTATCGGCAACCATGGCTAGTGAGTTGGGAGTTGATGGAGATGAGGCAATGCCCAACCGTACCTTGGAGAGGACCTGGTGGAAAATCGATTGCAGAATTGTGCCAATGATGGGCATTCTACATTTTTTGTCTATTATCGTAAGTTTTCTGCGTCCTTCACACATAGGAGCTTAAGCAACTTCATTGCCCCCCCCCCCTCCCCCCAATAGGACCACACGAATTTCGGCAATGCTCGAATTGCAGACTTGCAACAAGACCTGAAGATGACCAACCAGGAAGTCAGTATGCTGGCAGCATCCACAGCAATTACAAATATCCTTGCATTGTTTCCCGTGACTCTTACCCTAAAGGTTGGCATCCCCCATGTCTGATGGCTGGATTATCTCATGTTTGCAGGTCGTTGGTCCAAATATCATGCTCCCTGCGATGTTAACTCTCTGGTCGATTTCATCTATTCTGCAAGGTTTGTAATCATTGGAAACAAACAACGGAAGGTTCATCTCTTTTGAATAGGTATCACAAAGAACTACTGGGAGCTTCTCATCTGCCGTTTGTTCCTTGGTCTGTTTTCAGGTGTGTAATATCACTAAATGCTCGAAGCAGCTAAACAGACGAATGTAAAGCTGGTATATTCCCGAGTATTGTTCTCTATCTCTCCTTATGGTATCCCCGTCAATATCTGCAAAAGAGGTTGATTTCCCTCTTCTTGATTCTCACATTCACTTTCACCCTATTCTTAGAATATCTGCCTTCCTGGCTATAAGCTTGGTCTTAAGCACGTTGGGTGGCATTCTCGCATACGGTATTATTAAGATGGATGGCATAGGACAGCGTTCGGGATGGGCGTGGATCTTCATTCTTGAAGGCCTCTTCAGTTTTTTGTGTGGCATCCTTGCCTTCATGGTTCTCCCACACTCTCCAGCACATGCCCACTTTCTACATCACAACGAAAAGGAATACATCATTAACGAGCTCCAGAACACCGGAGCTATTGATCGTGACGAGGAAACGGATTCATTGAGTTGGCATGAGATAAGACAGACATTCTTGTTTCCTCAAGTGTGGATGCTCTCTGTGATATCAGCATTTATGGGTACCCTTTATGTTGCCAATTATCTTTCTGCATTCGTGCTTATTTCATTCCAACAGGTGTTGCTGTATTCACTATTCAATAGTTGGTTATATCACACTTCGTCGTTGAGCAATTTCTTACCCTTTCCACAGCTTTTTGCCATCTATTGTCTCTGACCTTGGATATACCAATGTCCAAGCTCAGATCTACAGTGTACCACCCATCGCTGTCGCAGCCGTGTGTCGGTAACCGTGTATAGTCTTCCTGATTGTATAATTGATTTTCTACTAGGGACGTTGTTTTCAGCCTATTTTTCAGATCAATATGGCATGCGTGGCCTAGTTATCATAATTTCTTCCACCCTTGCAACAGCTGGATTAGTCACGTTCCTTGGTTCGTTCACCACTTCTTTCCGTTTATCCATCTCATTGATATTACTTTTCAGTGGTAGAGTCCTTGAATGTGAAGTATGGAAGCCTGTTTCTCATCGTCTCTGGCGTCTATAATGGCTCTCCTGCGGCCTCTACATGGATTGCCAACAACGCTGCTCCATACACCCGTCGGGCCACGGCTACTGCTTTTACATCCATCATGTTCCAGCTGGGTGGTGTTGCTGGTACTTGGCTTCTTGGCACATTTTCGCTACCACCGCGGTACAAGGCGGCCACGATTACACTTCTTATCCTTTCCCTTCTCATAATTGTAATCGCAGGCATCAATATCGCCTATCTCTCGTCCCAAAATCGGCAGAAGGCGTTGATCAGAGAGAACAGTTCCCGTGAAACTGAACAGCCTGGACTTGGTGACCAGTCAGCGTGGTTCAAATACTGCCTCTGATTCTGCGAACTAGTGTAGATATGTAATTTCCGCAGCTATTCTAAGGGCCAAGAAGAATTTTGTGAATTGCAACAGAATCACCCTGTCTATCTGTATAACGGCAAACCTTATTCAGTTGAGATTCGCCTTACCGGAATCGTCGAGCAGTGAGCTCACTTCTACACATTAAGTCGCGATGGCACTGCTGCTGTCGTGACGGCTTTCCGCACCTTCGACAGAAGCTGGCCTCATCCAGGGCTCCGTCCTTACCTCCAATTTCGCTGGCATCTCGCTGAGTTGCTTACATATACTTCCCTTCGTCCATGTCGTCCCAGGGCCAGTGACCCATGATCTCCGCCCGTTCCTCCGCCGACTGGGCATCCGCCAACCCCTTCTCCTTGCTCTTCTTCAACAACGCCACGGCATCCTCGTAGTCCTCGGTCGACACCCAACCGTCCTCCCCAAGGCCGATCATATTCTGGCACGTCGCAAAAAGCATGTCTGCTTTTTCCTGTACTTCATTCAGCTTCCTCGTCTCGCGTACGTCCTCAGCGTCGAACTCGATTGGACACGGCACGTCTCCTCCCCTAAGCGCCTTCCACCTCTCCGTTGCTTGTATTAGCGCAAGCTTCAACTCGAAAGTCTCGCCCTCCCACGGGCTACCAGCGTGTAGGAAAAGACGGCCGCGGAGCGCGTGCATGGGGTCGGTAAAGGCAGCGTAGTGGAGCTTGTTGCACTCCTCCATGCTCGTGACATAGTGGTAATGGACGAGGCGGTCACGGTAGACCTCCTCAGCTCCGGCTCGCTCGGTTCCGTCCAACTCGTCGAAATGCTCTGGTAGCGACGGCGGCGTCATAGATTGCGAGACGGGATCATTGTAGTTCTGGAGGCGCTGGGGGACGCCGGCGAGAAGAAATATGGGCAGGATGGAGGCGTGTTGCCAGTCGAGTAGGCCGACGACTTGGCAGCCGGAGTCGGGCGACCTCGACACGACGATATTGCTCGGCTGGAGGTCTGGATGGCGGATGCAGAAACGACTGAGAGTGGGGTCTCTAGGGACGAGTGACGACGCGATGAGGAGATAAAGGTTCAAGTTCTCGATGTGGGCCGACGGCGACTGTTCCTGGTACTGATAACCAGCCCTCCTCTCGCGCCGGAACGGCAAGAGCGGTTGATCGAACTGCTTCAGGTAAGCAAGTTCCTTGCGGGCTCCTGCTACGAGAGTTGCTTCGGCACTTAGGTCTACAGTTATCGGTTGGTTCAAGGATGTAATAATGAAAAGGCAGAAAACGACGTACAGGGTCCCCGATTCACGTCGAGCTTTGACCTTCTCCCGAACCAGAGAGTCAGTCTTGTATCTGGACCGACGCAGAAACGCTCGTCCTCCAGTGGTATACCCAGCCCCGCGGCAACCTCTCCAAGTCTTTCGTAAAGTATAGGCTCCCGCCAGCGGGAAAAGGCAGCGACATCATACTCGACTCGAGTTGAGTGAACTGGCGGACGACGGAGATAACTTCCTGTTCGCCTAGGCTAGGCCAGACGTCGCTGAGCTTGGAGCCTCGAACGAACTGCATGAAGAAAATCTGTAAGTTTTTCACGAACGTAAACAAATTGACCATCGACCTTTAACATTATCCTCGGCGGCGGCCATCTCGTATTCAAGCTGGCAGATATTGTTCGATCAGTGTTGGGTATCGGCGGGACAACCTGTTCGAGAGCGTATAATCTCTTTGGAAAGAATATGCCCATTTACGCTTATCCCAGGTGGGCGTTGGCTTCTTGTCATCATGGTGAAGGTTCGGTGCTCTGTTATGACCTCGAAGATCCCAAAATGCGGAGGACTGTCTTGACGCGTAATGAGCCGAACCAGCACGCCAGCTATCAGATTGCCATCGAAATTGATCAAGCAAGCCCAGTAATAAAATTCACTATGGTCAACTATCCCTCTATGTACTTCCATGAGCCATCCTTCACATTCAACATTTTGTGTTGGATACGTTTGAATGTTCGCCTGCACCAATCCGCACCGACATTCGACACGGTGATGGCACCCCCACGACGAGGCATGTCTGGAGTAAGTCCGCAACGTACCTGCCGTCCTCGGTTGTGCGAGGGCCTGTATGGAGGAGGCGAAAGCGTATACGGAGTGCGTGTCAGCTTGGGCGTGTAAAGGCCTGTCGGCGTCGAAAAAGCGAAGCTGATGTCTGCGCGGAGGCGGACGGTAAGCGTTGGATTCGATCATGGATTTAGAAGATGTCTTGAAAAGGATATGGCCGACAAAAAAGGCTACCTCTTTCAATTTTGGAAATTTGAAAATCACAAACACCATATGTAACTCATTTTCACTTGCTTAAAAAATCGACTCAATTCTCGTTCCCTCGAGGTGCTACCAGGGTTCGAACCTGGGTTTCGGAAAAGTAAGAAAACTTCAAAATCCCGAGTGATAACCACTACACTATAGCACCTATATTAAGACCTCCTTTAAAACAATAAGACTTGATTATTTCCAGGCAAAACTATCTACCTTCAAGGCCTCGCAAAGACTTCATCATCAATCAAATTTCCTTCCAGACGCGAGCCAGGGTAGTTCCTAGAATATACTCAGTGGCTTTCCAACTACTCATACCCCCCGAACCGAACGAATATCTGATTTCAGTCTCCTTAAAGTTGAGCAGGAGTAGTATTGTCCAAGGTTCGCGTGTAGACCAGAACTTGCTCGTGATCAGGAGAGAGGTCAACAAAATCACCATATATCTGATGATCGTAAAAAAGGGTCGTGAGGGTTCCCGACTTGGCAGAATTAACAATGCACTAGGGCCTTACGAAGTTTGAAGCCCCTTTTTTTAGGAATTGAGTGCGCTGTTATCATCTACAGCTTGTACGGCTGCATTCCACGTCTGATAATCATCGTCGACTCGCATCCATGGATTTCCGGTAGTGAATCCAACATGCGACGTAGCGTCCCACTGAAAAATAGTGATTGGGGACGATTTTGAACGTTAAAAAACACTCGCCTGCTTAGGTACTCGGGCATGACCCCTGGATTTACGCTGGAAATTATCTAACACGTCGGACATATCAGGTTCGACACTCCCTGCTTCTTTTCCTGCGTTCCTCTAAGACCCCAATTCCATGGTGTTAGAAACTGACGTAATGATAGACTTTGCAGGTGGCATACTGATTCCAATAGTTCCGACTCATCGTGTCTTTCAAATATTCCTCGATGCCCCACGACCTTGGAAAATTCTTCAAGCCAAGCTCCTGCCCTTGATATATATACTGTGTGTCTCCGAGGGAAACCTGTAGCATCGCCAGCAGCTTGACGGAGAGGACGTGCCATTCCTCGAAGTTACCGAAACACGAGACAGATCGGCCGTAATCATGATTCTCAACGAAAGTCCTAGTTTTAAAGCCTCTGGCCCATTCAGATTTCTGCTACCGTCCCACAATTTTAAGGAACTCAGAGAGCTTCCAGTCCCGATGCATAAGGAGTTTGAGCTCGTCTCCGATGATGGGCGCATCAAGAGCCATCAACTCAACTGGAACACCATCTGTAACTTTTTGTTGCTAGGTAATACATACCCAGTCAACAAGGAAGCATCAAGGGTGAATGGCCCTTCGCCGACGGTAATCAGATCGCGCCCTAATCCGAAAAATCGTTTCAATTCTACGCTCAAATATGAATCGTATGTCATAAAACTTGCCTGATTAAACCTTCTCGTCCATCTCCTTGAGAAATTCACGAACCCTTGGTCTTATCGGCTCATCAATCCGCTCTTGAAGGGTTTATAGTGGACATACCCATTGGCCCAGAGCTCGGGTCCGAGCTGATGCTCGTTGTTTGGATCGCGAATGGGAGCGTCTGGGAGACCCTCGACCTTTGAAATCAAATCGATTGTATCTATCTGAAACAGGGGATGAATTAGCTGTAGATTTGAGGGGGGGCGGCCGACACACCCGGAAACCATCACACCCTCTGTCAATCCAGATACGCATAAGATCCCACACGACCTGATATACTTCAGGATTCTCTCAGTTGAGGTCGGGCTGTTTCGCGACACAAATCAATGGAGGTAGTATTCCTCAGTCTTTTCGTCATAGTTCCAGGCTGAACCTTAGTCCCAAGAAGAGAACAAACATCAGTATTCTTCATAGCTGGACAGGAATGCAACGCAGGTGAATACGTACCCTGGTAAACTGATCTCTAATTGTTAGCGGATACTGCTTGCCCGCAGTATCGAACTTTGAGGGTAGCCAAATATACCAGTCACGTTTTGGATTATCTTTACTCGACTTTGATTGCACAAACCACTCATGCTAGAAATTCCAGAATTGGGGGGGCGTCGAAGGGTACAAGAAACCGGAGTTACCAACCTTATTAGACGAGTGATTGACGAGGTCCATCCTTTCAGCGCAAGTCGGCATGTTCAACGACTGCAGCGTGCCTCACATGAGCTTCATGCCGCGGTCGTGCATCTTGATGAGATTATCCCAATCCGCAAACGTCCCGTATCTCGGATCGATGTCACAATAATTCGAACTTACGAGAATCAGCACATTCAGTACCAGCATGACTACAACGAGGCGAATATTTCCAATACTCACGTATCGTAGCCCATATCCGCTAAGGGCGATCGATATATCGGAGAAAGCCATAGGACATCTGCACTGAGATCTTTCAGATAGTCAAGCTTCGCGCGAATGCCGTTGAGGTCGCCGATGCCATCACCGTTTGAGTACAACGCTTTTCCACCACGCTCGCTCAACGTTGTCGGTCTCGGTAACAGACGCATGAGGCATGTTAAAGTTGAGATACGAAGCAAAGAGCCTGAGATTAGAAGTGTTCCAATCACCCTACGGTATTTACGCAGGTCTGCATGATCGATCCGAGGATAGTATAAATTACGTCCACACGAGGCGCCCCTATGATTAGCATGAATCGCCAAGAGTATAAGGCGCTGGAGCTTGAATATTGGACACAATGTTTTTGTGATTTGTTCATTGATTCGTTCAGGTCAAAGTCGACGATATATGACCTAAGACTAACAAAATCAGAGGCGCACAACAGGAGTGCCGACTGTCGAGTGATGAGCATGCTAGACGAAAGGAACTCTTGGCGCATTGCCTGCGCGAGAATGGTGTTCTATGGTTGAGGAACTACTGTAAGCATCTTTATACCAAGAAACTCACACGTCGTGCAGGCCCCAAGCATCTTGAGCTTCTTGAAAATTATCTATCAAGACCAACGAGGCTGCCAACGTACGGGTGAGAGCCGATTGCACGTCTCCAGAGCTAGGAGGAAGGAGTGTACGAGGCGTCAAGTATGCCTCTCGCTTGATTTCATTCGTTGAACCGGCGCGCTGCGATAACGGTGAAGCTTGAAGAGGTACTACCGCTACAAGATCAAATGGAACGCGATACAGGCCCGATCAGAGGCAATTATAGGCTTGTGGGCAAAACTTTGACAGGGAAGCTCACATGACTCAACACCTCACCTCAGTTATCCTGACTTCATATCTCACCCATCTCCATCCTGTTCCAACATTGTACTTCAATGCACATGCACCGCAAGCCGTCCGTA